GAAGGTAACGTTTTTAATAGGATACCATGACAGCTATTAATTTTAAATACATTTTAATTTAATATTTTTCAGTAATTTATTAAAAAATTTGTTTATTTAGATGAATATATTACTCATAATTTATTGATTTATTTAAGTTTTTATTTTAGTAATTTTGAATTTTACCGTGGTCGTCTATTTATATGTTTTCGATTAATACAAAATATATACAATACAGACTCAATACTCTATGAATATAGATACGTATTTTTTTTTGATGTGTTAATTATACTATTTACATATTTAATGTTGAACAAGAAATCCATCTGAAACCACGGTAGTGCACCAGGTTATGCTTAAGAGGGAATTTATTTTACGTTTTTTATGGTTTCAGTAGAAAATGTTCTCAATACGTCTACTAAGTAGTAAAATTTACATTTCTGAAAATAGATAACGTATAATATTTACCTTAAAAAAATTAACAAACAATTTTTTTAAATTATATTATGATTTTATGAATTATTAAAATAAATGAAACAAATGCAAAAACAATTAATTAATTTTAACTATTTAACTAACATACAAATATTAAAATGTTATTAATTTGTCGTGATAATAATCATTCAATACATTAGATACCGATACTATATAATTTAGTTAAAAATATTGGGAAATATGTTTGTTTTGAAACAAACAAATATTGCTGCCCATACATCAAAAGCTAATACCAAACCCAACATCATTATACTCTTATTTGAATCCCATCCGACAGATTGTACTTTCCACTTCTTTTCTTTCGTTTCCAAATTAACGGCCACCACTCCATTATTGTCTTCATCCAGTTTTGTAATTTGGTTCTCTATTGTAGAGGAAGTAATTGCAGCGACGTCATGTGCCCGTGGCACCGTCCCCTGTTTAAACAAATCAACACAATTTATAAGATAAGAAAAAAATATAAAGATGGAGTTGTATTTTCCTGTCTTAGACTAGGGTTTCTATACTTTTATAGTTGTGTGAGTTAACCCAAAAACAAATATATTAGGTATGTAATATGTATTAATTATGTCATTAGTTCATATTGTTATTACTTACTTATTAATAATAAGTAAAAAATTGAATTGAGCAAATTACATTTGTATTGCACTGCACCGCTGAACTACACAATAATATTCCAATAAAAGTTATATGCAATTAAATCAATTTATTGATTGGTGTGACATAAAAATAAATTTCAGTCTTGTCTAATTTAAAACCTATTTTTATACATAGTTCAAAATGAAAATGTTTATAATACGGAGTACTATTTTTATATTTCAATGAATTCAATTTTTTCAGTCATAGATAATACCTACGAATATTAAACCAAAGATTCCTTAAAAAACATTAAAATATCAAAAATTACACATAAAAATGTTTTGGTTAGGTGTTATGGAATTATGGATTATTTGAAACACATTTACAGATTGGAAAGTATCGAATAAGACATTCCAAAATAAAAACGCAGATGCATTGAAATCTGAGCCCTATTTGTTATCATAGGTTAGGTATAGATACCTAGTTTTCTATGAATGTATAAAATAAATATATTGATTTCTTATGTTCAATAATAAAAATGACATGTAATTCAGTATTAATATTATATGAGACTCCATACGTTAAAAATTATTTAAAACATTTTCTAAACGAATAACTAAAAACATATTTAAAAAAGTGGGAAGTGGATACCAACTGATAAACAGTATGTATCAATCGACTAAATCTAATGTACYTATGTAGGTAATACACTTTTATATGATATACGATTCTAATCGAAAATGGACTGTTAGCCTATATACTAGGTATCATTTTCAATATAATAGTTATACTGCTATTTAAGTAATTTACTATACATTATTATTTTTTATATTTCACTTTAAAATTATCAAACACATCCAAATAATATTCTCAAATTACAAAAAATAATTTAAATTTAATGAATTTGAAGAAAATATAAAAGTTCTAAATTCAGACGTTCATAACTTTTGTTAATGAAGAAAATCGAATAATTGAACMGAAGTTGGGATAAAAACACAATAAGCAAATATACTAAGGGTGGTTTTGTTTCATTTAAAATGTCTGTTGTTTGTTTAGTTTTTCAACTTTCTAAGATTGGTTAGACAATCAATCTATTTTTAAACAAGTTTAAACTATTGTGTACAAGGAAATTGTGTATTGTGAATTGGATTTCCGTTATCTTATGCACAAGGGGTGGGAGAATGMGAGAAAACGTTCGTAGCCTAGTTCGAATCAGACATACCTAACAAAAACCACCTTATTCTTCACAATATTAATTTTTTTTTTTATTATTATTATTCAAAAGATTACAGCACCATTTGCGATTCAAACGCCTTGGAGAACTTCTCGGGATGATACATTTTTTATAAGGAATTTTTACTGTAAAATATTTTCTTTATAACATAGAACTATCATATTGTTCTGGAATTATTCCTTAAGAATTGTGAAGGAAAATGAAGCTCTAGTTAATTCTTAGAGGATATTTTATATGTTTCGTAAGGATATTTTTACTACCTATTATTATTTGCTTAAGTCTTATAGCATTTTTTGTAGAATATAAGATTTAGTAAGCATTTAAGATGTATTTGAATATTTTGGGATAATAAATAATGTTTTTCTGACTTAACATCACTAATGTAATACCTACTTTATAATCAACAGTTTATAAAAACAAGTTATTTGTTATATGAAAATTATAGTAGTTGACATTTATAYTTTTCAAATTTAATCCAAAGTCTTAAATCATTAACATTAATTAACAAATTTTAAAGTAATGGGTTATCAAACAATCAAAAAAACTGTTTAATTACCTATATTAGGTGTTTAAGATTAAATAATAAAACAACAACTAATAATTAAGTTGCTATAATATGAAAAAAAAAAAACAGTAAAATTACATTTAAAATATCATGTCCAAATAAAAAAAAATCTGATTAAAGAAGAATTATTTACTAAATATATATTACATCGATATTATTAATATAATTAATTATATGATGTACAATTGTATTTTAGAAGTTTAAGTAAAAGTTTGTAATATAGGTAATATATGATGTGAAATTTATTTTATTATGTTCTGTTAATAAATTCAACAGAAATTGTAAAGCTCGATGGCTCAATGTAGGTATTATATTCGTAATATTTTGCTATCCTGGGTGGATGAAGGATGAATGAAGATTATGTGTTATATTTATACGTACTTTATGTTTGTCGTTCACATTATCTGCATTCTGAGGGCCATCTTCGAATGCATTATTAATGTACCCATCTTGCGTCGTCAGTGATGGTCTATCAGAAGTTATAATCACATTTTTAGATAGATGATTTGGATCTACCTCAATCTGTAACATAAAAAAAATGGAATTTAACATTGAATGACTGGYGATTAATAAATAGTAGTTAACAGTAACTTGTTTTAACTTTATAAACATTAGTCTTAATATTCTAAAATCTCTAATTTATACCTTATGATACATCATTAAGGCATAGATGCAAGTCGTGAAACAAAACAGGACCAAATTTTAAGTGGGGGAGACTGTAGCCTCTGCATTTTCTATTATTAATTGTGTAGAAAAATTAACCTAATTTTCGGCTTGGGGCCTAGTAAATCAATATATATATAATATATGAATATATTATTATCCATTTATTACGGGAAATGTACCACGCACCATAATGGACCCATTATTGTTCGAAATCTGTAATGTCCATGGCCTCCCTGACCCCGATTAGTTCATGATTGCCAATAACCTTCTTCCAAGTTGGTATAATGTAAACCCCTTATAATAATAATCATAAATGTATATAAATATTTGTCTAGTATRATTCACCTATCATGGATAAATCCATTTTTTCACAGTTAAAAAAAAAAATATTTACAACTGCTGTTTAAAAATAGTATAAAAATTAAAAATACAGTATCGGTATTATTGATATTAACATAAAAATATCATACAACAGTTCAAAATAGAATTAGTGTCAATTGATATTTAAAAAAATATATATAATTATAAATAATGTTGTCTTTTATAAAAATCAATTTATAAATCATTATCACATTGAATTCATTTTCTTAATATAATACAAATAAATCAATGTTGAAAAATACAATTTTAACATTGCTTAAAAAGGCAAATTAAAAAAAAAAAAAAAAAAAAAAAACATTGCTTAGATATCAATAACATTTTGTTTGGAAATCGACTTATTAATTTAAACCAAAAAAACACTATATACTTCAAATGTATTTGACTAGATAACATTTTAAATTACGAACATAAATAATTACCTACAATAAACAAATTTAATCTATAAAATACTATATACCTACTTATATTTAAAATTTATATTCTAGACTTCTAAATATTATTATTATAGATTAATAATTTGTTCTACGTCTATCATTAATAAGTAATTTTTTAATAGGTACCTATATTTTATTATTATATTATTATATGTTAAAATATATTTCTTATATTATGTATTTATTTAATTAAATTTATATGCATGTGTGAAAGGAATATATGAGCATTGAGCATACACCATATACAGTGTTAATATAACTAAAAATGTTATAATTTTAAATTTCACACAAAACGATAAAGTTAATTATTTACACATTCAGCTTTGTAATCATTTCTAGGGTGTCATGTTATCAATTTAAAGATAAATGATAAATAAATATTTAAAGAATTTATCATTGTGACAAGTGTAATAATTCTATTGATTGAAAACACTTTTAATCATAATTTAAAACATATTACGTAACTCGCCAATTGGAAACAATATTATTCTAAATTTGATATTGTAATTATTAATATTATTATTATGGCCAAGTAATCTATATCTATATTCCATATTCTAACATTATGAATTAAATATAAATACAAGGTGATTAATCGATAATAGTATTCATTATTTATGTTATTCATAAGTTTTGTAATTTATAAGCAATGSCACTTAAAGAGTTAGGACAAAATTATCCCCAAATACTAAGAATTTGTTTAAAATTTTAGGAGTCAGGCGAAGCTGTTGAAGAGAACATCTATAAAAACAATAAGCGCATTTGGTAAAATTTTCCTAATGTAATCAGAAGACATAAAAATGTAAAAATTATATTAACTATTTATGTTACAAATAAGTAGATTTAGAATAAAATTTGTCTACGAATGATAATTATTGAATGCTTAGAAATAAAATGATAGAATAACACATAATTGTCAAATTTGACTTGCCTTATTTGATAATTCTTCTTTTAAGCTATTTGAATCATTAAATCCCTTATTCACGTAACATTCATCGTTCATTGTGGTTTTTCCAATAACATCTGTCGACGTGCTTTGATCCGATAACCCATTTCCATCATTCTGATGATGGTCATAGAAACGAAGCTCTTTCACATCCTAAAAGTTGAAATGCCCATTCAATTACTTGAACTTATATAAATATTTTATAAAATTGATGGTTAATATTTTTTTAAGACCTCCTATGATTATTAAAATTCACAATTTTAATTTAAGGTATATAATATATTATGTTATGTGTATTGTGTATTATATATTTCAATATGTCACATTTATAGTTAAATAATATAAATATTTACCATTTTATTTTGTTCTTTATATGTTTTAAATATAACAAAACTAATTATTTAAGTAGTGAATTTTATAAACGATGATATACAAAAAAACTAATCATATTGTAAATCGTAAGAACGTATTTCATTACTTTGTTTATCTGAATTTATAAGTGGTTATTTTATCAGATTAAAGCGATTAATTTAAGTGTTATAGTTTAAGTAATGTTTAAGTACCTATTTTTTCATGATATATATCATTAATAAACATTTATTGCACATTATTACATTTATTTTTTACTGCAGGTATCTACCTATATGAATATCTAATAGTTTTGATACCTTTTGACTGATAGAATACACTTAATCTTTAATATACATAATACATTGTCAGTAAAATGGAATTTATAAGGTTGTTGGTTATAATTAAATTAAATATACCTAAATATAATCTTTTTCTTATATGTTATATTCAATTATTAACAACAGTTATTTCAATAGATTTATGTATATCGGACAAATATATAAAAATATAGATATCATATAATAATTGTAATTATTAGATATAAAAATGTTTTGTGAGTGTAAGGACAATAGTTTTTAAATATTTTAAATAGCAGGTATAAATACCAAAAAATATATTTAAGAACGTATAAGATTGGAACGATGAGAGAAAAATGTTAGGAACTGTTACACATAATATTTAAAAAAWTTATATTTTGAACAGTATGATATTATTATCTAATAAAAATTATTCGAAATGGAATAATATTTTTCATACAAAAACATATATTTCATTATTAAAATAATACATTTACATTGATAATGATGCCATAATATCTAGATTATTCATAGAATATTTACCTCAAATTTATTTTTATGTTAATTATTTAACTTTCCAGAAATCTATAAAAATACAAATATTAATTTTTTTTTTTTATCTTAAAAAAATTCAATTATCATAAGTAACAACTGAAATTGAAAATTCTTTAATAATATAACAGTATTACTAATTTAGTTTCAAATGAATTAAATGAAATATCATTAAATAATTTATTTATAACAAATTTTGGAATAAAAATGTTATTGAAAAATTTAACCTTATAGTACYAMGAGTAAAATACTTATAATTAGGTAGTTTTATTATACAAGAAACSTTATAGGAAATATAAAATTATTTTAAGAATAATTATCACGTATGACCTTGAAATGTTGAAATAATTATTAAATTCCAGGTTTTGACTTATGATGGACCTCAGTGTACCTAATTGAAACTTATTTTATTGGAAGTATCTACCTTTGGTGTTGGATTACACCTAGATGGATGAGTCCGTTTTGGATCAAACATTTACCCTTCTCATAAGCCGATTTCCTTTTTGACAAAAACAAAAATGTATAAAATACCTACCTATATGTAAAAAATAAAATGATTGGTATGTATCAGATTTGTTGATTTATGATTAATTATTAGAATGCAGATATAAATATATAATACCTAATATAATTTAATAAATTGGGCTTGGATATTTATGAAATTGCATATTATTTTTATCTACACGAATTTAATTCTATAGACGTAATAATTTCCCTCAAAATAAAAAAGTATTATCAGCTCTTGTTTTTGTTCTTGTTAATAATGTTATTACTTATTTCTGCATTTGAAAAAATAATTAACTCCAACTACTACGTAGAAAATGAAAAAGATTTACAAACAGTTGTTGATTAATTTGAGGACACGTGGATAGGGTGGTATAAGGTGGTAGACGAAAAGCACCTACTTTTCCAATTAAAATATGGTATATGTTTGATATTGTAATTCAAGGGGCTCTCCCAGGAACAATAATGCAGTAAAAGAATGGCACAGAGCGTTTAATTCTGCACTGGCAGATAACCATGTAACAGTATGGAAATTCATAAATAAACTAAAGCGAGAACAAGGTCTGCAAGWGGCTAAAATGGAACAACATGCAGCTGGTGTACCTAAAAAAAAAATTTWAAAAAAAACAAAAGTATAAAAATTAGGACAAGTGGTTAATTYCTATTGTTAAAGGATATGATAAAATTAATACAACAATTTTRTTTTAACTTTCTCAAATTAATCAAACAAATTTTAATTCATTTTGTGTATTCTATAAATGTATTAATATCTATGTAACTTGTATAAAAAGGTTTAAATTTAGAATTAAATAATTGCGGAATATTTTGACCGGTATTAAGCTAAATGATACACTTCTTRCTCATCGGTATATTCCTTAGCCTTCTTAGCCAGTCACTCGATAAATCATGCTTGATTCGCAGCCTCGACCACCGGGCGTATGCTTTTCTCTTCTTCTTTGAAAATCAGTATCACCTCTATCATTTTATAGAAGATCCTGATAAAATCTATTTGGACTCCTTCTTGAGAACCTCGCCCTTGATGAAGTGGTTCAGCRWTAAGTCTTTGAAGACAAGCCCACAYAAAATGTCTGACATATAGTCAATCTTTTAAGTAACCCAAACAACCTATACGCAATTCAACGTATATTCTGTCACATTTCTGACCTTGGAAGAACGTGTGTAGACATGCTAGAGAAGTGCATGGAGTGTAGATAGATGGTTTTGCCCATGTAATGAAGATAGTACCTATCTAAAACATGATCTGTTAGTGTCTAAATAACATATTATGTCCACGAAACGACATAACCCTAGGTATCATTCTGTCCTCCTGTCTTGCGATTTCTAAAACGAGACAGCATGTGTCCAGGGGCCTTAACGGAGACGATCTATCTCCTGTGTGTTATATGCCCACCACTATAGAAACTATAGAGACGCTTGTTTTACAGAATATAACAACGCCTGTATGTAGGTGTCTTATCTTAGATATTTTGCTTATGCATGACAAGACTATAGTATCGGTCCTGTCGGCAATTTAGTCTTGAACCCGACTCATTCGAGTTAAGTAGTGTGTTTGTAGTATAAATTTCATTTTTTAAAACTAATAAAATATAATATTCTCATTCAACTCTAAAACGTGTATTCTTTTTATTAATAAACTATTAAGCAATATTTGATTATCACCCGCTACACAGAGAACGGTTTCAACAAATATTGTCGTTTTCGGATACAACCAGAGACACAATATTAAATATAACAGAACATTACAGGTTCACGTGGGGACGTTCATAACATGTACCACTCACTGATATTGACTTTACGCTCAATAGTTTTGACAAAGACAAGGAACACCAGGTTGAAGTCTCCAAGAAATTCTGAATTTGATACTCTTCTTCTCTGACTCTAAGAGATCAACAAGTGGCATGTCAGCTGGAGGATAGCTGCTTCAATAGTCAAGTAAGCTCTGATAGCTCTGAAGACTATGGATATCTGGATTATTTATAGATTCATTCTACTTTTGGCATTACATTTAATGTACTTGTCTGAATTTGAGCAGCATACAAGAGATGGATTTCAACTATTGTACTGATATACTGATTAATCTGCTCTTTCACTAAATGATGCCGCTGTTGTTAGGTATCAGTCAAGCTATGGCCATGGCTGAAGTTACATTTTTGTTACAGCCTCGACGGGTTTACCACATAGTTTTTGATGATTATGACTATCTGTCTGGTGTTTAGGAAAACACATAGGTACCAGATATGGTTGCTCAGAGTAATAAGGGGA